GTTATAATAGCACTAGAAACAATTGCTGGCAACACATTTCTCGGAACATGCAAAGATTTTTGTTCCTTTCACTTATGACAACATGTGTTACTTGGGATTCTGATTTGGCAGTACCAACAATATAGTTCAAGGCTATTCTCTTTGTAGGATGGACAAGTACAGGTGATGATCAAGGCAGCTGAGGGGGGCACACGCAGCAAATTAGCTTGAAAGCCCAAGAGCAGCCTTGTGCAATCAATGTGAGCAGGGCTAGCCAACAAGGAGGTGGCTGTGACTGGAATTCAGAATGACTTGAGGGAGTGCCAGACACGGCTGAGGTTGGTTGCAGCTCTCAAGAGAACAAAGGTTAAAAACAATGAAGGAGCTGATCCTTGTAAAATTAAAAGTATGTAAGAAAAGGGGTGTGCAAGTCTTCCCTCAAATTCTTAGTTCAAATCAGCACCCAAATCTTGGTCCCTTTTGCTGTATTACAATGTAAGGAATAGTTTATATTTTAAGAGTAGCTTTAGAAAGAAGAGCTGGAAACCGTCTTGCACTCTTAGCACTCACCCCTTCGTGTTGATACAATCTGGGGAGTCTGAGCAGTTGTGTGTTATGCCTTCTCAAGCTTTTCAGCCTTCTCCAAACCTTTTTTAAGACAATCCCAGCCAATTTTCTCCTTTTTATGTCTGTCTTTGTGCACATTTTCACATCTTCTTCCAGCCAAATGTGCAAGTATGTAATCCACCAGGACATTTTTGGTCTAGTCAGAAATTGGTGTTTTTAGAAGTCTTCACTAGACTTGCTGCTGCACTGTGGATGACCAAGTTCAGGTATTCCTCTGAATGGGGAGTCATCAATATCTGAGGCCAAATTTCTTGATATGTTCAGATTTACTCAATATTTAGTTGCAAGACGGGGCCAAGAACCTTGTAATGCTGCCTGGCTGGATCCTAGGTCTGCCATGGGCTGCTGCTCCAGGTGCAAGGACATCGACCCTGGGAAAAGGGTGCACATCCTTCCTGTGGTATCTTTGCTGCTGGGTAGAGTAGTTGGTACAGTCAGAGAGGAATTGAAAGGCTTTTTCAAAATCTAAAGCACATTTTCCTTATTATAGCCATGCTTCATTAAGCAAGATGAGAAACAGACTTTAAGAAAAGAGCTTCATTTCCTGTGTGGCAGGCTACTATATAATAGGGTGCCTCAGGATAGAATATCAGAATTTTTCATGAGTGTATCATGCACTAAAGCAAGCATTTTCCCATGTACATGGGCCAGTGACATAAGAAAGAAGAGTATAAAAGCATAAAATCATAGTGCAAAAGATGATCAAGGGAACAGCATTGGCCTGTGACTGAGGCCATAGTTAGAAGGTTATTTTAATCCAGCATAATGTATCTAGCAGCTGGAGGATGTAATTCACCTTCCTGTGGTGTCTCCCTTCAGCACTAGCATTTGTATGGCCAGGCAATAAGATGGAGTTACTGAGAACTAACCATAGACTTTTATTGGGTGAAGTTTCAGCCAGACCAGTTCCTGAGGTGGATCTGTCTATGGTTCTCCTAACACTGCCGGCAACACAAAGCAGGCCACAGTAAAACACAGCCAGAAGTGGGGAGGGATGGAGGTAGGGGGAGGAAAGTGGCGGCACGTCTGCACTTTTTCATGGCAACATGGATTTATATTAAGTAACAGTGACATTAGTTGTAAGATCAGGAAACCAGTTTGTTTCAGCCACAGTTTTACTGGATGAACTCAAAGAAGTTGCTAAATCTCTTGTTTCTAAGTTCCCCATTTAAAATCAAGGGACATACATTTGCCCTAACAGGGTAGTTGTGATTATTTAATGTTAGGTGAGGGTCATATAAAATACATTGATATAAACTAAAATACACAGAATGGGTTTTGCCCATTTCCTTTAATTTTTTAAAACAAGTAAGTAGATGAAATCTTGTGCCCTTCAAAACCAAACAGAATCTTTCTTTGTGTAAAATGTTACATAAACCTTAGTGGTTGTTCATTTTTATTATATTATTTATAATAATACTGCAGATATTTCAGAAAAGGGCAATATTGTTTCTACCACATAAAAAAATCATCACAATATAACTGGGTTTTGCATTTTCCCCTTCATATTGTTTAAAAAAAAACCAAAAACCAAAACCCCATACCACGAATACTATTAGGAAATTTACCCTCCCATGTCCCACCCCACAAAAGAAAAATATTTTTTTAAAAATCAGTATTGTTAAACAAGTCAGATATTAAATGCACACATTTACAAGCACAGCACATTAGTAATACTGTATAATACTTTAGACCATGCCAAACCATATGTATGTGTATAAAGCTATGGGTGAAATGGTTCATAGCAGCAGAAGAGGAAGAATGTTCCATACAAAGTATATAGTTCCTGTGGAGTTATTTGGATGAGTACAACAGTTCAAAGTACATTGATAAGCTAAAATGCACAAGTCAATTTTTTCTGCTACAGCAGTGTGTGTTGTGATTCAAAAGGCAATCTTGACTTGTCTGGGATTTTCATTTTGTGTCTAACGGGTGGCCAGTTGAGTGGTGTGGGTTCCACCTCTTGGCACACTTTACAGTAAACATTCATGAGGAGTCCTGATTGCTGAAGAAAACTTCATTGAAATCAAGGCCAAGTGTAACCTAACAGTGAATCTATATTTGCACATCCTTCACTGATAAGAAAATGTGTTGATGTTTACTCTGGGAGGGAACATAATCCATCCCAAGGCCCATATGTGGCTTTGGGGCCTTAGTTCTGCAACTCTGGTGGGTGGAGAGAAAGACCAGAAAGGGACACTGGATTAGAAATATTTATGACTCATTAGAACTTCCAAAAATGTTAAGGTTTTGGAGTGGGCATTTTTTCAATGTCAATATGTAGCTTTCTGTTGCTTCGCTGTATTTTCTGTAGTTACATAGCTCAATCTGTGATTTCAATTCTGGGAGCATTTCTCTTCCAGAAGTATCATTTTCCAATGGGACTGTGATTTTCATTGGTAACCCCCAGTTCTGGATGCCAAGCTGAAGACTCCCTTTGAGGGAGGCCAGCATTCACAAGATGATGGTTCAGTACCTTCATAAAGGCAGACTCCTTCAAAATGTCCTTTCCTAAGCACCTAACGATGGAGACATGCAAAGGCAAGCAGGACTTAAATAGTTGAAGTAGAATTGTGGTAGAGAAGTTCTCTCTTAGACTTCCACCTTACCACAGGAAAAATACAAATAAGATGAAGTAAAATTAAACAGATTATTAGATTTAATATGTAACTTTGAGACAAAGTGATTCTCTGAAAATGCTTTTTTAAGAGGTAACCATAAAATCTCAAAGAAATGTTGACTACATGTACAGTTCTATGTAATATTAAGACATACTTAGTGACTTCTAGTGAAATGTTTTCCTCTGTAGAAGGCCAGCAGCCACTTCTGTTTCTAATAATTCCATATGCTGGTATCTGAGCTTTGGTGATTTTGAATTGCAGAGAAGACAGCAGATTTTATAACATTTCTTCTGAGCTGACTTAGGCTGTTGCTTGTCTCTCCCCATCAAATTCTGTGCAGTGCAGCACAGTATTCCTCCACAGGTTTCTCATACAACCATCAAATAAAAAAAAACAGGACAAGAAAAAAAAAAATGTCCAGAACAAATAATAGGGTTTGGAATATTGGCAGAAGAAAAAAAAAACCCAAGAGATAATGTAGAGGTTTTGATACTGGGACTAGCATTCGCATACCTCGTGGTAACAACCATCCATCAGTTGGATGCAAAAAAAATCTGTTTTAAATCAGATGGAGTCAGTTCATACAATTGATAGAATAAAAAGGCCTGATATCACAAACCCAGTACTGCTCCTTTTGTGAAACAGAAGTCACAACATCCCTGTCTTAATTCCTTCATCTGCACCATATATAAATTACCTCCTGGAACTCTTGTAAAGATTAATCTCCCCAGGGAAGTACTGGATTCCCAAACATTGGACACTTTCAAGATTTGGCTGGACAGGGTGCTAGGCCATCTTGTCTAGACCGTGCTTTTGCCAAGAAAGACTGGACCAGATGACCCTTGAGGTCCCTTCCAACCTGGTATTCTATGATTCTATGATTAAGGACCAATTACTCTAGCCTTGCACCGAATAAACTCCTGTTCTGACTTCAGTGCAACCCTTGATAACATTCAGGGTAGAGCAATTGGCCTAATCTAAGAGTATCTAGAAAGTACCTTGAAGATGAGAAAAGCTATATAGCGCTGCACATTGTCATTACAGGATCCTTGATTTCTTTTGAGGGGAATGAATAGATGTACAGACAGACAGACTGGCCACCATAGAAAGAGACAGACAGAGAGGCCAAAGTATGCAGAGCTATAAACCTGCTCTTTTTTTCATCAGAACATCTCCACATATATGAAGTAACCTTGATCTCCTGTTGTACAAGCATAGACAAAACACATTTCACTTCAGGGGATGGGAAGTGTCAACCAAAATGAAGTACTGGCCACCCAGACACTAAAGAAAATGAAAAAGCTTTAGAGGTCTCCTGAAGCAGTACATATCATCTTAGAGGCCATTAACTTACAAGAGCAGAGCAGCAAAATTCATAGCTTGTAAGAAATATTCTCTATCCAATCTCCACAAAAACAGTGACTCAGAAGTGGGCCCATTCCACCACATTTTTAGACCTGTTGAAGCAAATGGAGGGTGGAGGGAAGGTGATAAAAGCAGCTGAGGTGGTGCTTCCTGTCAGCTTCACAAAACTTGTCCTGAAAGAAGAGCTTTGTTAGGTGCAAAACTCAGTCTTGCAGCTGCCAGGGCCTAGGGAAAGGCTGAATTGCACACAGCCTTGGTGCAAAAGCCACTGGCCCCAGTGGGAAAGGCTCCCGCCGATTTCAATGGACTTTGGATACAACCCGCATTTAGAGAGTAATATGCAACAGCAGTTAAAAGTCATTCCCCCATCCCCATACAATTTCTTCCAATATAAACAAAAGGAGATTTTGGTCCCCTTTATATACATACATTAAAAGCTGAAATGGTCTGAAATGCTTACAGATTAGAATGCATATATCTATACATTACACCTGCCAGAAATCAAAGTAGAAAAGTTTTACAGCACATTATACAGGTCCCTCTAACTTCTAAAAAAACATTTACTGAAATCACCATATTACAAGAAGTCACCACTAACATACCATATAATACTATTTCTTTTTCTTTTACATAATCATTACTTATATAGTAATTTAAAAAAATCACTTTTAAACAAGTATACAATTTTCACTTTAAAATTAAATGGTTAATAAAATTTTGTGCAAAACAAGCCAGCCTCTATAATTAAGTGAATTTATTTATTTATTTTTACAAAAAATAAAACAAAAAAGATAGTTCTTTCAGAAATGTGTCTCCTTTTCTGTAATGGTTGAAATGGTGCCATCTCCTTTCAGTTTGGCATCGCAGTCATTTATTGCTGCAATGTAGGCTCCTCCTCCAAGTTTCCCTCTCATTTTCAGATCTGAGCTAGGTGTAATCAGCTTCCTGAATTTCTAGAAAAATTGAGAAAATGGAAATCATTGTCTTTTTCTTGGTCACAGACACATTTCTTCAACAGATTGACTATAAAATCCTCTTCTCTTGCATGACTGCTTCTCATTTCCCTGTTATAGATACATTCATAAAACTGCATTCCACACAGTTCTTTACAAATCACACCAGACAAAAGTCTAGAGAACGAAGGCAAAGACAAAGTCGCAGTGAATTTTCGTGCTGATTTAGAGTAACATTTCCTTCCATGAAGAAATTCAGCACAATATTCTGGGTAAGGCCTGTTATATGGGTACATTTTGTTTCTCATGGTACAGTCAAAGGATATATACTGCAAAAAAACCCCAAACCCAAGAGACAGCAAAAGTGTATTAAGCTACAATAAAGAACAAAAGAAAAATATACATGTTCAGCTGAGAACTTTCTCTTTTATAGCAATAACAGCAGTAGCAACATTGCTGCTTACAGCTTGGAGAGCAGAGATGCTGCAGGAAGTTGGCTGCCTGAGAATCTCCCAACTGTAATTAAAAAAACCCTCTCATCATTCACATACAGAAAAGATAATGACCTGTCTGCAGTGCTTCAGACTACAAGGCAATTCAAAATGAGATTCTATAAACAAAGTCTATTTACTTGCAGAGAAAGGGTAAGGTAGATGCATTAAGGAAAAACCTAATGTTAAGATCTGTGCAAAACTTCCTCTTTTGACATGCTAAGAAAACTATACTATAGACAATTCATTTTTTGTTTATATACCCACAGTAAAGAATTCCTAGGTAGTCTCCAGGCCATGGAGTCATTTCAATATGGACTGCCATCAGCCAGCACAAAAAATTGCATGTTAGCTTCTCCATTCAAGAAAGCAGTAACTATTACACTGATATAAACTCAGATATATTCACATGTCACACCCTTTGGTTCTGAATGGAGGATAATTTTGAAAGTGTGAGTATACACTGAGAGATCTTTCAAGCGTGCTAGGTAAGTTAATGAGCTCCAGGTACCCTAGACACAGAAATTCCTACTGTCTTGTTCTTCACATTGGCATTATCCTAGAGAATATCAGAAAGACTGACAAAGCATGAAAGGGACTGAATAAAGTCCCCTCCATACCTGTAATGAGATAGAAGGAGGCAATACTGGGATACCTACTTTTACTGACTAGTATCTAAGGAACTCCAGATGACAGAACCAGGCTTTTCGGCAATATGAGAAATCCCAAACAGCCAAATAAGGTTTATATTCTTGTTTCTTCCATTATAGCCATCTTCACTGTCTTTCTTTGGAGAAAAGGTCTTATATTTAATAATCTTAACCTCAGCCTAGACCTGAGATAACCTGATACCAAATGTTAGTAAACTGCACTGAATATTTCTTTTTGCCTCTATTTCACACTTAGAGAACTGCAGTCAGAAAAACTGTCCAGAAGACATATGTGAGTGTTTGCTACCCAGCTCCTGGAGAAAAGCCTGCTAGCACAAACATTAGTTACCAAAACCATGGAAAGAAGGCAGCTGACCTGAATGAATGGCTGGTACAAACCTTCTTGAGAGATTTAGCTGATGTTACAGACATTGTAAGCTGCAAATTGAGCAGGAACAGAGCACCTTAAAGTTATAGGATTGGTTAGTTTAGCACAGGCTGAAGTCAGGCAAAAAAAAAAAAGAAAATTCAAAAGAAGTTTTGCCCAGGGAATTGGTTGAGTCACCACCCCTGGAGGCATTTAAAAGACGTGTAAATGTGGTGCTTAGGGCCATGGTTTAATGGTGGACTTGGCAGTGTTAGGTTAACAGTTGGACTAGATGATCTTAAAGGTCTTTTCCAACCTAGACGATTCTGTGATTCTAAGAAAATAAGAGAAAATTCAGATGCCTCTTTCCATCAGTGACTGAGAGGCCTAACCCAAGCTGCCACTGGAACAGGTACATGCTTTTTTGAATAAACTGTGTTAAGTCTCATGCAGGTGAGGATTCACACTCCCTTCCCACTTCTTTTTTCAGTATCATTAGTCTGAAAGTATATCTTACCTCTATGAAAGTGCCTTCTGTCTTCCACAGCTTAATGCAGATCCACAAAGGGATACAGATCATGGAAGAGAGCGCCATCATCCACCCTATGCCATAGCCCCAGTCAGGGTATATATATACATTGTTGTATTTCAAAGGCTTGTATTTCACCAGGAAAAAGATGAAGATTCCCTGAAATAAGCAGAGAAACATATTAGCGGTATTTGAAAAAGCACTGCCTATGTAATAAGAAAATGATTGACTGTTCAGGCAAGGCCAGTCTCCCTAAAGATGGAAAGTGGAGGTAAGCTTTTCAGTCAGAGGAAAAGAAAACAGCAATATCTATGTACAGCTTAAATAATATGTCTCAGTACCTTCCACAGAAATGAACAACCTTTCAAGCTTAAATCCTATTTACCTCTTGATGACAATAAAACCTGCACTTCGATGGCAAACGCTACCTGGGCAGGAAAGATTAAGCTTTGCTACCGTGAACCAGCTGCGATTAAGTAACACAAGCTGCGTTGTCTCCAACCTGTCATGATGAAAAAGGAAAGCCAAAATTTTCAAAGTTGCCTTAATCCACTGTCTGTATCTGCAGTTCATTCTGCAGGCCAACTCTTTCATCCTCACGAAAGCTCAAATATATCTGTCTAAATTTGACAGGTATCTAATCAAGCAGTTTGGACTGTTTAAATGTATGAAATACAGAAAAGGTACTATGTACTTTTCTCCAAAGTGGTGAAAGAGCAAGTGATATAAAGTTCATTTCAGAGTTGGTGAAAATGAGTCAGAAATTTTCCCAAGTTTGCAAATAAACTGGCAGAGCTCAAAGGAACCTGGATCTCCAGGTACCCCAGCATCTGTGATTTTGCAGTTGCTATCATTTACATATTGGAGAACCGGAAGATTTTAGTATCTAAACCTCCAGCACGTGTGGATCAAATTTACAGGCAATCTGGTCATGCTCCTTTTGTAATTTTGTCCCTGTTATGTAGCCACAGCAGATTGCCAGAGCTGGCACCAGTACTGCTAGCTTCTAGTAATGCAAATTCCTTTCCCTTCTTCGTGCGTATGAGATGTGCTCTTGGCCTCTTATACTACTTTTACTAGAAAAAAAAAATGTCCTGTCTTCTTCGAAAATGTCAACTCACCCAAAGAGAGGGAAGGAAATAGGAGGCTGGAGCAGCAACGAAGCCAGCAGAAGTCTGGAGGAGCTTGAGTTACACTGGGTAGACACAAGGTATACTAGCAATGCAGTGAAAAAAAGCCTCTGTTCTATTGACAAATGTTCATTTAGGGCCCTGAGTTTATTTTTTTCCTGTTATTGTATACGCTAAGATTTCTCATAGTTCACAGTTTTTACAGATTCTACAGAGTGTTTTTTAATTAAAACATGCTACAAATCAATAGGCATTTTTATCAACCATTGTGAAATATTAGCAGCAGCAAAATTCTGAAAATATGCACAGAAAACCCTCTTTATGTCTAAAACAATGTCATGGGTTAACCCCAATCAGTAACTAAGCACTACACAGCTGCTCACTCCCCCTCCCCCTCCTCCAGTGGGACTGGGGAGAGAATCGGAAAAAAAGTAAAACCCATGGGTTGAGATAAAGGCAGTTTAATGGGACAGCAGAGGAAGAGAAAGTAATAATAATAATAATAAAAGAATATACAGAACAAGTGATGCACAATGCAGTTGCTCACCACCCCGCTGACCAATGCCCATCCCATCCCCAAGCAGCGATCGCTGCCCCCCAGCCAACTCCCCCCAGTTCATACACTGAGCATCATGTCATATGGCATGGAATAGCCCTTTGGTCAGTTTGGGTCAGCTGTCCTGGGTGTGCTCCCTCCCAGCTTCTTGTGCACCTGGCAGAGCGTGGGAAGCTAAAAAGTCCTTGACTAGTATAAACACTATTTAGCAACAACTGAAACATCAGTGTGTTATCAACGTTGTTCTCATACTAAATCCAAAACACAGCACTATGCCAGCTACTAGGAAGAAAATTAACTCTATCCCAGCTGAAACCAGGACAAACAAGTTACTTGGATGTTCTGTACTTACTGCACAAATACCTGGAGTTAAGACCATCCAGCACCATTTAATCAATGACAGTGGTTTGTACCCAATCATATCTTCAATGTTATCATAAAAGCGATTGCTGCCTGCCCCCAAAAAAAACAAACAAAATCAGATGTAGAATGTACATGTAAGAAGTTGTATAGGTCAGTATTTAAAACAGTAAAGAGAAAACCATAGATTCTGACACAGCTGCAGAGACTGAACCTGCTATCTCTAAAACATACAGCTCTCTGTCATCTGCTCCATACTTGTGGCAGAGATTGCTGCCTACATTTGTATCTGACCAATATGAACAGAGAGTAAGAGTGGGTGAGCTGTCAAAACAGAAATGGCTTTTGGTCAGTAACAGTCTGAGTAAGCCCAGTTAAAAAGTATACATATATATATATATATGCTACAAGCTCGTGTGCGAATCCCTAGATAGCTGGGGACATGTGTGATCTGAAGTTCATACGTTGCTTTATAAAATAAAACAGGAAGTCCTTTGTGAGCAAAAAATGCTTGAGGGTGTAACCATGAACATACTGTGGTGGTTTTCTCTTGACTTTGCTGACAGACAGAAACAGCAGAGCTAGGGACACTACTATGTCCCTTTTGTGTTAATGAGGCATGAGCTCCAACTTCCCTGGATTTATCTGTGAGTGTCAGAAGTGGAAGGGAACATGCCCTGCACAGATGCTTTGTGAAAGACTTATTGCCACCCCTACTTTCTAAGGCAGCTGTGGACTTCCTTGGTGAAGGAAGGTGGAGGTCAGTCCTGACAAGGGCTAAGGGGGGAAAAAAAAAAAAAAATATCAATTCCACTATCTTTGATATTTAGCGTGGAAAAAAAGGCATTGCTGACTTCTGGAAGGGCATGGGAATGTGGAGAGCCCCACTCCATAAGGTACAAGGCTTTCACATTGCTTTTATGCAAATAGAAAACTTTCATAAAAACTCAAAATCACAGCAATTTTCAGCAACTCACCATAAACCCAGCCTATGCAGACACATTCAAATATGGCAACAAAAAGAAGGCACATGCCACTAGCTGCATAAGAGTCAAATAACTGAAAAACGTACATCCCACCCTGAAAGACAGAAACAGAAAAAGGAAAAAAAAAAATTGTGTTGGCACCAGTAGGAATATTTCATAGCAAATACGGCTTTAACTACACAGTCAATCTGTTGGTTCCCTGGCAATCTTCCTACTAAAGTTAGTTCCTTCTTGAACAAAGAATATTCATTTCTCAGTGATTTGTAATTGTGAATTTTTTTTTCCTTCCATAGCACTTAAGATTATTCCCTATGCCAGTTGAATACTGTGCATTTGCTTTAAGGTACTAAATCCTGGGGTGGAGAGAACTACATTTGACTTGTTTCCAAAACGCTCTCCCACCTCCATGCTTTTTTTCAACTTCATTTGTTACCACATCAAGCTGTAGATAACTACAGGTACTTTTGATCTCCAGATCACTGCACATGAAGATGCAGGGTCTTGTTTTTGTGTCTGCTGTTAATATGTAAAAGAAATAGTTAAAATGTGGGGAAAGAAGGCAAAATCTTTAGTTATTAGAATCACTCTTCAATGGCATAGGGACTGTAAAATGAGTAAACTGACCTACAAAGTTTGAATGTAGCTCACAGCCTTTAAGCCACATGCAAGAGACGATAAGGACAGAGTTGGGATATACCTGGAGTAATGAATGTGTTCAGCTCTGGGGCCCCCCAACATAAGAAGGACATGGACATGTTGGAGCAAGTCCACAAAGATGATCAGAGGGCTGGAGCACCTCTCCTATGAAGACAGGCTGAGCAAGTTGGGGTTGTTCAGCCTGGAGAAGAGAAGGCTCCAGGGAAACCTTATTGCAGCCTTCCCATACCTGAAGAGAGCCTACAAGAAAGCTGGAGAGGGACTTTTTACAATGGCATATAGTGATAGGACAAGGGGTAATGGCTTTAAAGTGAAAGAGGGTAGATTTACATTAGATATAAGGAAGAAATTCTTCACTATGAGGGTGGTGAGGCACTGGAACAGGTTGCCCAGAGAAGTTATGAAAGCCCCCTCCCTGGAAGTGATCAAGGCTAGATTGGATGGGGCTTTGAGCAACCTGGTGTAGTGGAAGGTGTCCCTGACCATGGCAGGGGGGTTGGAACTAGATGATCTTTAAGGTCCCTTCCAACCCAAACCATCTTATGATTCTATGATATATTTACCCTTGGAAGTCTCACTCATGCATAATGCTTTGATACCTTACTGAAGTACCATGGAATGGAGTGTTATCTACCAGTGTGTCATTTCTGCATTGGATCATAGCTACTTAGATTGCCTAGTTGATGATGTAGATAAGCCACACCTCTCAGTAATAACTTAGGTCTCTCTAGTGATACTGAGAAAAAAGTGTTTCTTTCCTTTAAGGTTTCTGTTGAGCAGTTATAGTAAAAGCACTGTGGAATGTCAGCCCTCCCAGACCAGAATGCAAATGTTGAAGCAACATTTTTTAAATAAAATTATTTTTTTCTCCTAATGCAGATGCTTTTTTGATTATTAGCTACACTGCTTTTAGTCAGCTCTGCCAGCTGACTGCTTCCCAAAATCTCACAAATTAACATCTTTACTGCAAAGAGCTCACTGTGATGTTCAGCAAATATCTGAGAAAATTGGAAACTTAGAGATCAACCAACTGAGACAGTACAATGTAAGGAACACAATTCTGCAAAACTCCTGCAAGAATATTCTTGTCATTTTGGAGAACTTGCTTCCTCTTCACTCTTCATGCTTATATTTCTTCTAGCCTGTACATCTCAATCATGTATCTGTCAGTGCTCTGCTTAACAATTGCACTGTGGGAGGAAATATTCCAAAATTTCTGCTTTTTACATAGCAAAGATAATTTATGTTACTGAGGGATAAGAATGATTACAGGCAAATTGGTGCCTATAAGGTTGCTCTGCTACAATGCTCAACTTACAGGGACACGCATCTGGAAGGAATTCTTCATCATCCATTGTCAATTCCTCTGTTCTCACAGGGAACCATGTCACATAATGTCTTTCATAAACTAACTGACAATCTGACAATCAGTTTAAAACCAGAACTATTTTCTTGGAAAAACTTCTAGACCCTCACTGTTCTGATGGATAGAAATCCTTTCTTAATTTTCAGCCTAATTATTCATGGCCAGCTTATACACTCTGGATTAGGGATGAGGGAAAGGAAGCCATTCTTTTTTGCAGAAATAATTCATGTTTATACTCACTGTTACATCTATGATGTACTTACAGAAAGCAATCATACACCCTTGCTAATATTATCATCATTTTGCTAGTGTCTGGTGAAATCAGCTCTGTACTCCTAGGATCATCCTCCCTGCTCTTGCTTTGCATGCTGTTCCAGTCTGAATACAAGTATCCAGAGTCATACATAGTATTTCAGTGGGACTATTACCTTGTCCAGTCTTGGGACTATTCCCATCTCTCATTTGGAAATACCCTCCCGAAACATGTAAGAAACATGGGTTTATGTCTACAGCATATTTGTAGTGCTTAGTTTCACATCCAGATACTTCTCTTTCCTAATAATTTTCAATGCCTAGTAGAAATGTTTACTACTATATGGACGACCTTATACCTTGTGCTACTATAGTCTACTCCATGTTTAATACTCCAGTCATCCAGTCCTTCCCTATCATTATGACTTCTTCTGTGACCCAGGAACATGAGAGTTAATGAAGCCTGATTTGGACTTAAATCTTATAGATGACTGTGAGCCTTTATACTTCATGCACTCATTAGGCTACAGCTTTTTTCTGAATTCTGTGTTTTTTAATAAAGACTGTGCACTCATTAGGCTACAGCTTTTTTCTGAATTCTGTGTTTTTTAATAAAGACTGAACTCATGCTTTGTTCTTTTGAACAATAAGGACACTTCTAGGACTTCTCTATCTGGCTGCCAACTTTCATGAATGTTGACAAAGGACTTATCTTTGAAACTTCTATTAAGTTGACTGAAATCTGCCAATAGGTTCAAAATTTAAAATGGAGAAGGAATACATCACCAGAGAGCTAGTCGCATGTAGCCAATGACTATATGTGACTTGTTTCCATAGCAAGTCAGCTACAGATACTAGATAAAATTGACACCAAGTGCTGTCTGTGGAACTTCACTAAGAATCTCATTTCAGACACTGTCTCTTTTAACACCAACAGTCATGATCTCCTCTTCGTCCAGTTACATGTACCAGTCCTTTTCTTTTGAATAAAATTAATTTTTCTTGTGGTGAATTTTCAATTCCTTCACTGAGGTGTATAAAACTTCTGCTCAACTGCATTTGCTTCGTACAGTGTCTATCTCAAATAAGAGAAAGATAGTCAATTAGTCTGGCACAAACTGTCAATGAAAAAAATAATAAAAGTTTCATTTTGTCCTAGTCTCCACTTTCCTCCACATCTTTAGTTATTCTTTCCTTGAAAGTGTACCTAAAGCTAGTATATTCTGATTTGTTGATTTATTCTATTCAGTAACAAAGAAATTTGAAAAGCACGTAGTCTAAGGACTGTGGATCTCTGTAGAGAGAATTTAATTGACCACAGATGAGTTGATGAAGCCCTGGGAGGCTGCTTCACTGGGAAACTCTGCCTGAGACTGCTGCACAACAGAGACACATTGTGGCCCTTCACGGTTAATACAGCCAGACTTCCTCAGACATTTAATTCTACAGCTTCTCGGACATGAAACTTTTTTCTTTGCCTTGCTCTGTGGTACAGGAAGGCTCTAATGGCCCAGCAAGCGGAAGAATATGGGCAGGGGAGAGTGTGGACTCTGCCCCTCTTCTCCCTGTCTTTGAGAGGGTAAAGTGAAGGAGAGGAAGACTGATACAACTCACTCGTAAAGCAAACACTGAGCAGCAGGACTAACCTCCTACCAAGTACCAAAGGATCCCAAAGTGTCTCCCCAGCCTGGGTATCAAACACAGTAATGCCAGACATGTTGTATCATGAACTGATGGGATGGACTGACACCCTCAGAATTTTTCGTTTAGAACATCCCAAAGCAAATACCCTGGTTGGTTTGAATTCCCCCCCCCCCCCCCCCCACCACCCCCCACTCCACG